AGCCATCAAGTTCCTTAAAAAAGCCAGGGATCTTACACACTGGGGGGTCTGGGGAAGGGGGGGGGAGGTGAGGGAGGAGCGCGAGACGGAAGGGGGAGGGAAGTAGGGGGATAGAGAGAGGTAGGGGGAGAGACAGAGAGAGAGAAAAGGTGGAAGGGGTAGGAGAGGAGAGAGAGAGAAGATGGAAGAGGTAAGAGAGGAAAGAGAGAGAGAGATAGAGAAGGTGGAAGAGGTAGGAGAGGAGAGAGAGAAGGTGGAAGAGGGAGGAGAGGAGAGAGAGAAATGGGAAAGGTAGGAGAGGATGAGGATGAGAGAGAGAGAGAGAGAGAAGGTGGAAGAGGTAGGAGATTCAAATTCAAATTCAAATATTTGGTAATTTGTTCCAAATCATGGGTCCACGTGTAAGTGTCTCCCGTGCCCCTATATCTGTGCGTGATCTTGTGTTCGGACACAGGTTGTGTTTCCTACGGTTGGAAGGGTTAATAGCCATTCTGGATAAAGCCCTTGCATTATTTTGTGGATTAGTATGCAAGTGTCATAGTTATATTTGTGTTGTACTTTTAGCCAATTTAATTTGTTATTTGTCGGGTAATGTGGTCATACTTATTGACATTACCAAGCGGTACTCTCGCAGCAAAGTTCTGTCATTTTTGGATTTTCTGAATGTGACCTTTGTTTGTTGTGCCCCAAATGTTAGAACAATAATTAATCGTACTGGGAACTAGTGGTTGTATTACGAATATCCTAGTTGCTTTTTATGTGGCCTAGGTAAATTAGCGTGCCCATTACTTTAATATGGATGTTGTCGACATGGTTCTCAAAGGTCATGACTCAGTCAATGTGTACGCCTTGTTTTTTTACAGAAGTGCTCGGTCTTATGTAGCTGTCTTCAAGAGAGAAGAGAGAGAGAGAGAAGGTGGAAGAGGTAGGAGAGGAGAGAGAGAGAAGTGATAGAGGTAGGAGAGGAAAGAGAAAGAGAGAGAGAGAAGGTGGAAGAGGTAGGACAGAAGAGAGAGGTAGGAGAGGAAGAGGATGAGAGAGAGAGAGAAGGTGGTAGAGGTAGAAGAGGAGAGAGAGAGAGAAACGAGAGAGGTAGGAGAGGAAGAGGATTAGAGAGAGTGAGAGAGATAAGTGGAAGAGATGGGAGAAGAGAGAGAGAGAAGGTGGAAGAGGTAGGAAAGGAGAGAGAGTGAAGGTGGAAAAGGTAGGAGAGGAGAGAGAGAGAAAGAAAAGTGAGAGAGGTAGGAGAGGAAAAGCATGAGAGAGAGAGAGTGAAGGTAGAAGAGGTAGGAGAGGAGAGAGAGAGAGAAGTGAGAGAGGTAGGAGAGGAAGAGGATGAGAGAGAGAGAAAAGGTGGAAGAAGGGCGGAAGGAAGGGAGAGAAAGAGGAAAGTAAAGAGGAGAGAGGGATAGGAATGCAATATTTTTTGTTGTTTGTTGCTTATTTGATTGTTTTGCAGAACAAAATGGTACAATTCATTTGGAATACAGATTGTGAGGATAAGGATTCAAACAAGTTGGTTTCAGAATTAAATTGATGTGTTCCGCTTATGTCAATAGAGCCTCATCTGAATATTTGTTGTTATTTTCTACCTTAGATCTTAATATAAACAAAGCTAAAAGGCTTTATTAAACCAAGGACATATGTGTGCATATATGCGTATTTACGTGAGTATCCTTCCGTGCGTGATTGGGCGTCAACAGGAAAGGCCCTAAGATAGTATACGGACATAAACAGGATGCAGGAGAGAGATAGATCATGAAACAAAAGCGGGAAATAATTCTGTCCCAGTCTTTCTGCACCCTGGTGGAGAGAAATTCTAAACAAATATATCGTTATTCTACTTATTACACACACACACATGCACACACACACACACACACGCACGCAAGTACACATACACACACATGCACACACACACATACATACATATATATATATATATATATATATATATATATATATATATATCTATATATATATATATATATATATATTTGATTTGGGTTATAAATGCTGAGAGACGAGTGCGACAAAATGATTACATGTACTTCTCCCTCTTGCGAGAATGGGTTAACACAATTCGTTATTTAATGACAAAAGGTGGACCACGTCACTGTTTGCCACACCTTTTTGCATACATATGTACTACTGTTATTTTCATTTTCTAACTCCCTTAGATAATCTCATGTTCCTGGGAGTTTCTCGGGGTCAAATTTAATGCGTCTTGCACATTCTGCCCGACTGTTGACATATGCTGTTCTTGTTCTACCCTGCACAGGATACATACTTTGATAACACAATCTACATTACATTTCTGAGTAAAGATGTGCCTCGCTCGGATAAGGCACGTACTTCCATATGGCTTGTGGCAAGAGAAGACGAACCACGTATATTCTATGATCAAAAGGCAATATCAAACGCGCTTCCTTCCTCGGCGGTCTATGCCTCGCTCTTTGCCGCCGCCTCCTTGCCCCACGGAGTGATAGTATTTTCGCTTATGCCCACGGTAGTTTCTCGTTTTGCGCAAGAAATCGTTTATCTTTGATCTTCTGAAAGCGTTTCTCATTATTTGCTAGATATTTTTTTTCATCTCTCAGTGCTGTCCCCTTTCTTTCTTTGTCTATGTTTCACTCTTTTAGTTGTTCTTTTCATATTACCTTTTTACCTTCTTATCATTTAAATCTCTCTTCCTTTTCTCATTCCTTCTCTGATTTACATCCTATCTGCTAACTTTTATTGCTCTTGTTTTATTTTTTTTATTATTTATTATTATTATTATTATTATTATTATTATTATTATTATTTTACATTAATATTCATATATCTTTTTCTTTTTATCGTACTTTTATGAATTTTCTTTTCTCTTTTATAGTTTGAAATTCCATTCTGCCTCTCTCTCTCTCTCTCTCTCTCTCTCTCTTCTCTCTCTCTCCTCTCTCTCTCTCTCTCTCTCTCTCTCTACTTCTATCATGATACCAACAATGGCCATAGCGAAAAAGATAATATCGATAGCGATTGTGATAATGCTACTAATGAGTTACTAAGTTTTGCTTTAGGATAGCAGCGTTGCATTGTTTCATATAGAGATCTCGATTTGAAACAGATATATATCCTAACAAAAATGTTCCCCCTAAAAGTTATTCGTTTTCTTTGAACACAATCAAGCGTTATCGTTTTCTTTAAAGACTAAACAAATATGGGTAACTAATCTATAAGTTTCCTAACGTATTAGACATAAGAGGAGAATTAAGTTAATGATATAAACGTATACATTTGTATCTGTTCTCCAAATCAATAATTATCATCATTATTATTATTGTTATCACTATTATTACTATTAATGTTGTTGTTATCATCATTATTCTCCTCGTTTCAGCTATAATTCTTATCATTAATATTCATTAATAATGGATGTAATTAAATTGATAGTAATAATAACATTGATGATAATGATAATAAGAGTGATAATAACAATCATAATAATAATAATCAGAATAATAACAATGATAAGATTAATGATTAAAATGGTAAAAGTAATAATGATGACAATAACAATAATAATAATGATAATGGACATAACGTAAATGATAATAATATTGATATAATGATACTGATAATTATAATGATAATGATAGTAATAATAATAATAATGTTATTATTATTATTATAATTAATACAGTGGTACAGTGGTAACGCGCGCGGCTGTGGGCCGGAGGGTCCGCAACCGCACGGGTTCGAATCCCGGCCACGGTCCGAGGTTAGGAAGGGCATCCACTCGGGGTAACGGTCTCCACCTGCCAATTCCTGTGTGTCCTTCACGGGGCATGCCTGTCCTACCCCTTGTCCAAAAAGGGGAATTTCGTGAAGCTAACCCCCCCCCCCCCCCAAAAAAAAAAAAAAAAAAAAAAATCCTCATCTTTATCATGATATAATGATTATCACAATTATTATTTTTGTTGTTGTTCATGTTGTTATAGTTGTTGCTGCTGCTGTTATTGTTATTATTATCATGGTTATTATTATCATTATTATTATTATTATTATTATTATTATCATTATTATCCTCATTATCATTATTATTTCTACTATTTTAATTATCATTATGATAATGATGATGATGATGATGAAAAAGATGATGGTGATGGTGATGATGAGGAGGAGGAGTAGTATGAATAATAAGAGTAGTAACTAAAAATAATACTAATAATGACAATAATGATATTAATAATATTAATAATAATAATAATAATAGTAATAATAACAATAATAATGATAATGATAATGATAATGATAATGATAATAATAATAATAATGCTGATTATGATAATAGTAGCAATTACAATAATAACTGACGTCACTAATCATATATACGTACACATAATGATAATGAAAATGATAATGAAAATGATAATGATAAAAGAATAAAAGTAATAATAGTAATAATGGTCATATTAATGATAATAATATGTATTACTATTACTATTTTTGTTATTATCCTCATTATCATCATCATTCTGTTAAAATTATTATAATAATTATCATTATTATTGATTTATAATAATAATGTACATAATTATATTGACCATAATATTAATGTATATAATTATATTGAAGATGATGATATTTTTTAGATAAATGATACAATTAATAAATAACGATATTGATAATAATTGATAACATTGATTATAATAATAATGATAATAATAATAACAAAGAAAATAAGAATGATAATATTAATGATAACAATGATAATAATAATAATAATAATACTAACTACAATAATAACAAAAAAAATACAATGTAAATAATAATAATAATGATGATAATAAAAAAATGATAATGATAATGATAATAACACCAATATCAATAATATTGATAACAATAATAATAATGATAATAAGAATAATGCCATTGATAAAACACTAATGATAATAATACCAATAATCAAAATAATAATAACGTCAACAATAATAACTATCATTATGATCATTATCATCATCGTTATTATTATTATTATTATTATTATTGGTATTGTTATTATTATAGTTATCATTCTTATCAATATTGGTATATCATTATCATTATTACTATTATCATCACCTCTTTATCACAATAATAATGATGATAATAATGATATTGATATTAATATTGATAATATTGATATTAATAATAATAATATTAATGATAATAATAATGATAGTAATAATAGTAATGATAATGATAATAATAATAATAATAATAATAATAATAATAATAATAATAATAATAATAATAATAATAATAACAATAACAACAATAATAACAATAATAACAATAATAATAATAATAATGATAATAATAATAATGATTATAATAAAGATGATGATGATGATGATAATGATAACTATAATAAAATTAATATAATAATATTAGTAATAATAATGATGATAATAGTAATTATAATGATAATAATAATAATAATGATGATAATAAGGATAATAATAACAGTAGTGAGAATAGTAATGATAATAGTAATAATAATAATAACAATATTAATAATAATAATAATGTAATAATAAGAATAATATCAATGGTAATAATATTTAAAAAAATAATAACAATAATGATAATAATAATAATAATAATAATCATAACAATACTACTACTACTACTACTACTAATAATAATAATAATAATGATAACCATAATAATGATAATGATAATAATAATGAAAATAATGATAATATTGATGTTAATGATAACAATAATGATAATGATAATGATGATAATAATGACGATGATGATGATGATGATAATAGTGCGACTAATAATAATGACAATAGTAAAACTATTTACTACTACTGATGATGATGATGCCATTGGCAATATAAACAATAGCAATAAAGATAATAATATTAACGACGATATCAAACAACAATGATTGATAATGATAAAGATGATAATGGTCATAATGATGATAATGATGATAATAATAATGATAATAAAATAATTATTATTATTATTGTTGTTGTTGTTGTTATTACTATTATTATCATTTATCATCATTTCATCATTATTATCATCATCATCATTATCATTAGCACCATCATTGTCTTTATTATGCATATGATTGAAATGATCGTAACTATATTATTGAATAAATTGTAAGGATAATAATGATAATGATAATAATGATATTAACTAATATAACTGACAATAAAGATTATAATAACGGTAATATTAATGATGAAGATAAAATGATAATGATAATAATACTAATAATAGTAATAATAATAATAATAATAATAATAATAATAATACCAAT